CATGGGAATGGAAAACATGCGCGGCATCGTGAAAAAATTCTCTAGGTTAAAAGTTTTATTACATTCACCTAATATACACAATTAATTATTAATAAACAAAATCCATCCATCCAATCCAAAGCCTATTTATTTGTAAAAGCTAGATGCTTCAATTTGAATATTTAATGAAAAACATACATATTATTTATTTTGTATTCCAAATGGTAAAGACTCAAAAAGTTAACATAAAATTATTAGAAAATACTTACATCGTACAAAATCATGTCGAGTGTCGTTGTGTCGGTCACCTGTTGCACTGTCGTATACGTTAGGCTCTCCGTTTTTGTTTTCTTCAGTCTGTCTTTGTTTTACTATCAATTGAAACCCAATCGGAGTCTAACGGTTACTTAAATGTATAAAATTTAAAAAATGTTTTGAACTGCGACTTCACACAGTAACACACAAACTGAAAATTTTCAGTTTGAAATGTCTGCACAAAAAAAACTAGTTTATTCTTCGAGTTTACGACGAAAGAGATCGAATGTGCTTTCTTCGATCGAAAATAAACTATTTACCTAATAATAGTCACAAGTTAACTGTCACTAAATTAATGGTACGCAAGACGCAACACTTGAATTAAGACTAATTTTTATTTTTCCTAACGTCCGTAATAAACCAGCCAGTATTCAAATCGAATTCGAATCACAACACTGGCCAGCAACACGCGCAATAACTGTCAATTCGAGCGCCATTTATTTTTATTTACAAATGGTCATAGACAATGGTTTCGCGGTGGAGGTTTCAGCAAGGAGGCTTGCACGCCCGGCTGGCTCGCGACTCGCACTGAGGCGGCTGGCCGCCCAACCAACCTGGGCGGGGCAGCCCGCCGGCGCAGATTTTAATCCATTTAGTATTTCCAATAGCTGTCTGCTATTGTTTGTAACTTCATTTCAAAAAGATAACTGAATCCGTGATTCAGTTTAGGCCCTTTGTTTTTCGAATTTTCTATTGTTTACGTTTGACGAGGACCTATCTAAATTATGTTTATTTTGCAGAGTTTCAAATAAAGTTTGTGAGCCTAATTAAAAGTCATTATTAGATACTCGTANTACTCGTATTGTTTATTTTATGCGAAGAATAATCTTGATTTTCATGTTTTGTAACAAAGTTACATTAATCGAACTAGATCCAAAGTTTCAACCTTTTTTGTGTGCATAATGGCTGGAAATAACCCTTTTAGTCCTGAACTGCTTGTCTAAAGTCTAATATCCGAGGGTTCCAACCTTGAAGGTCGGGATATGGGTCCCAGGGAATTAGGATAAGCGGGTCAACTGATCATAACAAGGAAAAAAGGATTAGTCTGAACTAGTCTGAAGTTACGGAGAACGCGAAAGACGTGCCTTTTATATCAATGATTTATTCGTTTTTCGTTTAGATTTTTTTATACGCCCTTGACTTCAATGGTGTGGATTTACTTCCGTCAGTATTATATTTTTCAAACGCTTTTGTTATTTTTATTCCCTTTAAAGACATTTGATCTTTGACCTGTGACCTTTCGTAGCGGCCCTAACAGTGGCTCTCAAACTTTTTATAAAAATATTTGGGAACGAAAGATCAATGTAAAGTCAGCATCAAATAGTTCGTTACACCCAAAAAAGTAGCCAATAAGTTCGCAACACGTCTTTGTTACAATTGAATAAGGTTGTTTTAACAACTTTTAAGAAAAATTGTATTAAGGATTAATATGTCATGTAAAAAATTATCTAAAATCTTGGTTTGTTCAATCACTCTATGCTACTACCAACTACTAAATTAGTGTTCCCAAAACCAGTCCCGATATTTGTACCGATTCTTTAAAAAAAATGTTGACAGTCGAAAACTTGTACCTTTTGGGAACCGCTGCTGTTTAGTGCGTTGACCGAAAAACAATATTATCATATTTCTTTTGCATGTCACCCGCATTATAATAAGGCATTCGCAACCTGACTCCGGCTTTGTAGAAATTGCTATGACAGTTACAAACGATCGCATTAATCCAACTGTTTTCGATGGTTGTTTTGTGTGGAAAATTTGAAGAAAACTCCATTTTAGTGCAAACGACTGCCTTTAGGCCTACCTGGCTTATGTTTCGTATATGTCGGCGGTACATAAGTACAAATTATGTTTAGTCATCAAATGGAAATAAAACAAAAATACACAAAGTAATTTTTACTTAATGACGAAAATCAAGTTACAGAATAAGAGCAATGACCTTGCGTCAATTTCATAAGTGACTAACCCAAGCTTTTAGTACTGCTAGTACTACCGTGTTCTATTTGCAGTCTAGCTCCCAAAGGATTCAATCCTGGGTCATTGGACTCCATTGTTATTCTCGATAGTCCCGTTTCTTCGAATACACAGTTAATTTACTTTTAATTCCTTTATCAGGTTTTTTTTCTCTGTGATTAATAACTTCATATGACTTATTTTGAACTTATGAGCACTATAACTAAATGAATAGAAGGATGTGTTCTTTTCAAAATGAGTTCGATTACCGACTCAAAAATTATAATGCGTAGCATCGCTTCGTAGTACGTAACTCGTAGTCACGTTGCTACGAACGAGCGTGTAACCGCCTACGCAGTAGCGGCGGTGTAGAAATGCGCAAAATTTCCTACCTACAATAAAAATTATGTTAAAAGATGATATTGTTATGTACTTTGAATAAAAAAGTGCAAGCTTTGATTAACACTTGAATATAATTATGCATATAAAGGTACTGATAATGGTCCGGGTGATTAGTTGGATAAGTATTTTGAAAAAACCAATGAGATTAGTTACTAAACCTCGTAAAGATATTATCTTTTGTATTATAATAATTTGTAGAACTTCAGCTAATGAACATGAACAGGATAATAAAGATATCCAAATATAGAAAAGCCTAAACCTTAGAGTAGGCTCGTTCTGTTTTCAAGTTATCATCCTTGACAACTTAACCACTCAACACCCAAGGTTGTCCACTTTGACTTACTTACCAAACAAAAGTTAACGGACACTCTGCAAGGCCTTGTTGTTTTAACACAATAAGTAGAAAGTGCTTCACCTTAGCCCTTCTAAGTTTGACGAAAGTGTAAGGTTCTACACTTTCAAGGATGCATTATGGAAGTAAAATATTAAATTAGCAACTTAAAAAAAACAGTTCTATTTCACAATTGATAATATAATAAATATAGTGTCATTATGGGCTAAATCTGGTTTAGGCATAAATAAAATATGTATTTAATAATTTAACAATTTTATTTTGCGCAATCATTTCTTCATTGCTTCAAGTAGCAAAATAATTTTAAACAATCACAAATACCCATAAAGTCCTTTTAACGAATTCTAAGGAATTTATCTAAATAGGCAGAAGTACCTCATCATTATTTCTTGTATATAAGTCTACCTAATTTTAGACAGTCTTTAATTAGCGTGTCACACAGACCCAGACAAAATGTCACCCTCAAGGCCTAAATCAAGTTCACGGACGGCGGTCTCGTGCGCACGAAGCCTTACCACAATCCAATTAGCTCGTGGAGGATTTAATGCATGCGGCGAGTCAACACGCCTTCCGTGATTGTGCATATGATGGCACCACGTGCGTGTGTTGCACGACTATGTGCGTGAACTCGTGGATGCATCCAGGCAGATTGTGGAAGGGAGGAGCAAATAAGATTTTTGGGTCCAATATAGTCTAGCCGCCCTAAAGAAAATACACTTTTTGATCGAATCGACAATCGAATCGACCACTATTCGACTGGTTTGCGATTATAATTTGCAGTTTCTCTAGACTCCACAGGAGACCCACTTGATCACAAACTGTATAAGGTAAGTAATCGAAGCTAATTGACGCAGCAGGCTGTCTGAATGGGTTAAAGGTGTAATTTCTAACTACTTACTTAACAATACATAAAAACACAACAACAAACACAAAACATGGTGTTTCTTTGCGAGATCGAATCAGAAATGAGGAAATCCGTAAACGAACTAAAGTCGCTGACAATAGCCCGACGGATTAGCAAGCTGAAGTGGCAATGGGCAGGGCATACCTATAGTACGCAGAACTGACGGCCGATGGGGCAGCAAGGTTCTGGAATGGAGGCCGCGTATCGGAAAACGCAGCATGGGACGTCCACCTACAAGGTGGACCGACGACATCGTAAAGGTAGCAGGGAAGCGCTGGATGCAGGCCGCTACCAATCGATCAACGTGGAAAGCATTAGGGGAGGCCTATGTTCAGCAGTGGACGTCCTATGGCTGAAATGATGATAATGACATAAAAACACACGATTTTTGGTCTTAAACGTTATTTAACAAGTTATTTCATAATTGAAAATCTTTTTAGTACAAGATCTAAAAAATACCTAAAATCAAGTAATAGACGTAAGCAAATTGCTCAATTAAGTACTTCAATCTTCAAGTATTTAAACACGTTTCGTATCTAATTATGTCCTAATCTCCTTCAGCCGCAGGCTTTTGTCTTTGTCCACAGTTCCAGGCAGATGCAAATCGGCTGAATGCTAATTAAAGCAAGCCTTTGACCTTTCTTCGTGTAGTCTGACGCCCACGCTTGACGACAACTATCTAATAGGATCATACTCTCTAATCTGTGAATAGGATAGTCCTTTGAAGATAAGACTTGTTGCGTTAGTTGTTTTCTACTAAAAAAATATTTGTAGATGTCCTGTTAGCTCAGGACGCGACAAAGGAGAAAAAATAGAGTTCATCGAACCTCGCCATCCTTAAAATTCCTTACTTATAAATTCATATTCTTGCGTATTTTGCTATTCTAAGCGAGTAGGTGTTTGCTTTTTTTTTCTACAAAATTAAGAACAAAAATTTCAGTTTTGACTGTATTCGTTTTCTGTAGCAAGTAGGTATGTAAAATTATCAAGTATGTATTTGTAAAATAGATTTAATTCATTTTCATTAATTTTCATTCAACGAAATAATTTCGTGCGTACACGCCATAAAATGACAAATCATGGCAACACCAATTTCCAACTGTCATTAACTGACACTCCAATTCGTTTGTGGTTTGTGTGTTGTTGTAATTTGTAAATAAAATCAAGTTGTTTGGTTTTACTGATAATCACGAATAAAGTGAATTTTCTAACAGTGTTTGGTCGGTGCCTCCCTACGGTCCAAGTTTAGATGACACTTGGACGCAAATACCAGCAGTCTTCTGGGTAAATGAATTCAACGCAAGGGTTGGGACTAACCGTGCATGGCAAGGGTCTGGGTCGTGTAAAAATACGGCAAAATTGATTTTTCCCTATTTATAGGAATGCTGGGGATGCTCGTAAGGTGTATACTAACCAGTCGAAGGCTGGGACTCTGTCTGGGTGCTCGTCTTCTGTAAGTTGTAAATCATTATTATTCATATCAGGTACATTTCATACTGATTCATTACGAATAGTTTCCTCAATGTATGTGATTAGAATTCCTTATTAGAATTAATTAAAATTAGTCAATCCAATTAATCATTAGCTAGAGTAGTAATGCATTGAAACTGTAGAGTATTTGCTTTGTTACACATTTATTTATTTATCACAGAAATATTGTTTAGAAACTGCTGTATTGTAAATACACTTGTGGCTTTAATTTAATTCAATTAGCATTAAGATATTTACCAAGCCGCTATACAATACAGTCATTATACTTATCGGTGTATGTATTGGGGTGTTAAAAATTAAGTATCTCATACTATACTCTATAGGTCATTCATGTTAAACAAAATATATAATTTGATGTTAAGATTAACCACTTACTTGTTTCTAATTATTAAATTAGAAACAAGTAAGTGGTTAAATACATTATGTATTTAACACTTCTTGACCTTGCCTGTTTTTAATTAGTATACTTTTGTGAACACTCAAGTATAAACATTTTACTTAAAGCAAGGTCACTTGAGCTATCAATAGAATGTCTTATAATCGACTATTGTTTGAAAATAAATAAGCTATTTAGATAACATATCTTAGCAACTGTCCATCCCAACTAATTGATTTTAAAGTTAATAAACAACCTCAAAAAAGACATATTCAACTCATATCTTTAGATATTTTTAAAATTCTCTGATATACCTAAGATGCAGTTATTTGTAATATTGTGAATACATTGAAATAACAAGCAGCATATCATATTTGTTAGCATTGATGCATGCCATTTTAGGTAACGTCCAGCTCGGCTAATTTCATATAACATTTTAACGCTTGTGTTTTTTATATTTCTAAATAAATTACAGTACTTCTTATAAGAATAAGCTATGAATAGGCTATTTATTTATTTAATTATCTTTTAGAAACTTTTTATGTTTCCTATTGAACTTGAACTGGAAGACAGTTAATCCTTTTCTACAACCTTCTAATAAGTTCTTCTGATTGATTTAGTTACAGGTCCAATCACATTGTTTCCCCATGGCATACTTTTTACTGGTTGGGTTTTATTGGTCGCTGTAGTGTAGGAAACACAGCAATGAAAATTAGAAGTGGGATTAATAATAAAAATAAATAAATAAAATAAAATAAAAGTCATTTATTTTCAGACAAAAGCAGTGCATAGTTTGGTTAGTAACAATTTGAACTTAGAGACTATATTAGTAGAGTTAGTAACAATGTTCTTAGAAATATGTTAGTCGTACATCATAGGTTTGATAAACTATGTATATTGACTCTTTATCTATGGACCCTGCATTGCTTCACATGCCTAATGTATAAGTCAACAAAGTGACCATAGACGGCTGCTGAGTCCAGCCTCTCAGCAATCATTATCATTTAATTATAATATTGAGGTTAAAACCATAAACTTCCAGATATCCTTGTGCGACATGATCGAACCACCGGACTATGAAGAAGTATGTGATCAACTCATGGGCGAGCGCGACCCGCTCGCCTACCCGTCTGCGGACATCGACCTGCTCGTCGTGCCGCGCCGCATCCGCACCGTCACGCACGTGCTGCCCGACGAGGACCTGTGAGTAGTGTGACGCATGTTCCGGACTATTAGGAGCGTGCGAGCAACCATGGGGCAGCAAGGTTCTGGAGTGGAGGCCGCGTACCGGAAAACGCAACGTGTGACGTCCACCCACAAGGTGGACCGACAACATCATTAAGGCTGGACGCATGCCTTTACCCGCCCGCGAAAATCGTCCACACCGTCACGCACGTGCTGCCCGACGAGGACCTGTGTAGTGTGACGCGTGAAGCGTGACGTATGACCCGGACTGTGAGTGCGAGCAGCCATGGCCGAGCGCGGACATCGAGCTGCTCGTCGTGCCGCGCCGCATCCGCACCGTCACGCACGTGCTGCCCGACGAGGACCTGTGAGGTGACCCGGACTGTGAGTGTGCGAGCAGCCATGAGCGAGCGCGACCCGCTCGCAGACATCGAGCTGCTCGTCGTGCCGCGCCGCATCCGCACCGTCACGCACGTGCTGCCCGACGAGGACCTGTGAGTAGTGTGACGCATGAAGCGTGACGTATGACCCGGACTGTGAGTGCGAGCAGCCATGGGCGAGCGCGACCTGTGAGACTTCTTGATGTTGACGTCACACTTCCGTCCCGCATGGGGACTGAACAGTGATAGCAAAATGATCCAGACTACCCACTCTCGTAAAAGTCATGAGAGGCGACATCCTCCTCCTATTTGCCTCTGTAAATTAGAAAGGCCATTCTGCAGTAGGGACTAAGACACCGGGTCTTAGTCACTACTGCAGAATGGCCTTTTTAATTTCCTGGTGGAAACGATCATACATGGAGGCGATCATATTTATTCTGTCAATTTCATTCAAACTGAATTAAATCCAGGGTTCGAAAATATCCGATATGTATTATAAATATCAAAATATCGGATATTTATGATATATATCAGATATATATCAACTTTGATATATATCAATTTTGTATGAAAGCCATACTATTATTTTATTGTATTATTCATGAATACTATTGCATAAGTGTTACATAAACATGTTTTTAATGTTTTTAAAACTTAAAATCAGACAAATAAAGCAAAAACATAAAATTTCTTTTAAATACCGCAAAATCAACTAAAAAAATAAAAATCTTATGTCAAAAAGTACAAATACAGTAACAACTTTTAAAAGTTGATTGTATATCATTAAAACCGGCTTGATATATATCGGATATATATCCGATATATATCAAGATATATATCCCTTGATATTATATCCTCGAACCCTGATTAAATCTGATTCTAATTCAAAACATTACTCTGCTTCACTCCGCCTTGTTGGAAACCAGGCCGAAATAACCTGAATAATAGGATTATGTTAACACCAACGCCATCCAGCGGCAACTGGAGGAGAAACGATGCGTCACAGATTAGCAAGACATACATCGACCGGTGCCTCACAGTTCTTCGGTACTCCGATAGATGGCGCTGTCCTCCATGTATAAAACGCGATGACATAAATTTCACCTTCTTCACTTATTAACTTTCATTTGATTACCATTGTAAACGTCAAATAAACGTTATAGTCTAAACTTTAATCAAAATTATTCATTTCAGTACGAGTACTACCTATCCCAGCTGAACCTGATCTGCTAGTCTGAGGCGCAAACAGATAATGATGATGAATCCTTTCCAACAGCACCAAAGCGCCGATGTTCGTCCGCGACTGCATCCGCAGCTACACATCTGACTACTCCGTGGTGGAGTACAAGCACCGACAGTACTCGGGCTCGTTACTGTGAGTGCTATTAATACAGGGTGGAAACGATAAGTGATCTCATTCGATTATTTCTAAACTACACAAGATATCGAAAAACTGTTTACTGATCTTGAAAGTGCTTCACGAGCTCTTTCAAACGATATCAGTAATAGGTTAAAGAATTAACTGGATCTATCCGAAAAGTCATCATCAACAGCCCTTTACAGTCCACTGCTGGACTATGAGCCTCCTCCACTATAGTGGAGGGTTTTGCCATAATCTCCACGCTTGGCAGGCGGGTTGGAGATCGCAGTTTAAAAGATTGATGTTTTTCAGAGAGCGCTGCTGCCCATTCTCTGTTTGATGTGTAGTCCCTAAGTCGCCTCTTACGGCCGTGTGGTGACGGCAGAGTAGAATACATTTGTCACCAACCCCTACTCTTCCCGAAAAGTCAACGTGTCCCAAAATTCAAGGATAAGCCGGCGCTGCAGGAAGGACATAGTCATGACTACTTTAGGAAAAATAAGGAAAAAAATCTATCTCAATTATTTTTTAAGTTACACAATAAATTACGAAATTCTTCGAATATTGACACCCCTTATGATATTTTACATTACCACGACCACCATTTTTCAAATATTTCTGTTTTTTTGTTTGTATCGGCAACTTAAGTAGCGTTGCTGTCCACCCCAACTCTTAAAACCCCCGGAATCCTTGCAGTTTTTACACAAAAGTTAATCAAAATATTTTATATCCTTAAAATTTTGAACGATTTTTACTTTCACTCCACTTTTACCCATCGTTTGGTAAAAAAAAGTATGAACACTACTGCGGCAANAAATAAATAAATAAATAAATAAGTTATGAAGAGATATTTAATGGTTAGGTTATTTTACTCCCTGTCGCAAAAATATTTATAAAAGAAATGCATATAACACGAGTATAGTTATGTATAACCTACTACCGGAAAAACTTAAAGTACTCCAAGGCCCTATATTTAAAAGCAGACTTGCTGGCTTTTGGACAAATGTTTTTATAATTATAAGGAATATTTTAATTGGCGACATTGATACTATTAATTTTACATTGACATTTTCTTAATTATTTGACATTAATACTATTGAATCCTGTAATTTTTGCACGTCTGCGAGCAGACTAAACACATGATCCTATTTAATATTGTCACCCTGTATTACTGTGTTTTTGGCAAATAAACGTTTTGAATTTTGAATTTGAAACATGGAAAGGTTTCGGTTTGTCATCAAGCAACTGCACTCTGGAGGATTTGATGAGTGCTGCTGACAACGCCACTCTTGTGGCGGAGTTTTGGGCTGACACTGTGTAGGTTTGTTGTCGACACGAAAAGAAGAAGAAAATGGAAAGGTTATTGACTTATAAGTTATTTGTATTTGGTTAGGTTATAATGACTGACACATAAATTTTATTGATTTTTAAATGATAACGTATACATTATTTTTACTTAGTTTATTTTCGTCTGTTTTATTGACTTTCACAAATTATGTTTATTTAAAAAACCATTAATCAAACCAATAATTTAATTTTATTTAAATTGTATTTTAGTCACGTTTAAAAAAATATAAATATACAAAAACTAAATTTTTTTGGAAATTGCCTTATTCCTTATTTCCATTAATTTTGTATTGTGTTATGGCAACTTTAGGCAGAAGTTTTTTCATTACCAATAAATAAATTCCCACTTTCTTCTCAGGCTAGAACTGGACGTCGAACCTCTCTTCGCATCAATGGCTCTCTACGACGCTAAAGAAAAGAAAAAGCTATCAGAAAACTTCTACTTTAACCTAAATTCAGAATGCACGAGACAAATGTTAGCAGCTCACGTTCCACATGCAGACTTATCAACGCTCAGTAGAAGTGCAGTATTTGATATACTGAACCCTTCGGCCGATGTGTTCCTAGTGGTGCGAGTCGAGAAAGTTCTGCAGGGAGACGTCAATGAATGCGTGGAGCCTTATATCAAGGACGATAAGGTATGTTTTTGCATCTCACTTTTGCTAGGGTATCATTAAGGGTTGACAGATGCTGGCAACCCACATCCGTTGCGCGGATTTGTCAACACTCAACAATAGTTTAATACTAATCTCGTGAGTACTTATCTCAAATTAGTATTTTTTTGTACAATTTATTAGAATCCATTCTCTATGTTTTTAGTGTTTCATCAAACAGCAGCTGAGCTGTAGTAATCTGTAAAAGTAAAGCTATCTGTTCATGGTATAACTATTTTCAATAGTTTAATATGAAAGCGTAGGACGTCCACCCACAAGTTGGACAGACGACCTCATAAAGGTAGCGGGAAGGCGCTGGCCGCCACCAACCAGCCATTGTGGAAATCATTGGGGGAGGCGTATGTTCAGCAGTGGACGTCCTATGGCTGAAATGATGATGATGAATATGAAATCTGGATCAGACAATTTGGTATTTATTGTTATGTCTAAAACGCAAAATATCATAAAGCCTTTGACCTTAGCGTGACCTTCAACAGTTTCAAGCTTATTTCAACCTCCATTTTTCCCGCAGAACCGCGAAAAAGTCCGCGCGAGCGCGCAGGCAGCGTGCACTCGTCTCGGCAAGTATCGCATGCCACTTGCCTGGAGCGCTGTATCGCTGCCCAATATCCTCAGCGGCGCCAACAGTCTAGAAAGGGAGCAAGATAAGGACAGCCTGTCGGCTAATGGCAATACCAACAGCTTGGGTGAGTAGGCTAGTTTCCTAAAAAACTTTGTATGTCTATTATACTATCAAAATATTGGACACGTGTATTATTGTATTTGTCAATCAAACAAGTAAGGCGATTATCACACTGCGCCGCGCTCCGCCGCGGTACGCGGTACGACAGATTTAATCATTGTATGCAAGTACCTCAGTTTGTATAGAAAACACGCGCGGCACAACACACTGACAACGCGTCTGCGCGCAGGATTTTTTATATGAAATCACGCGGAGCGCGGCGCAGTGTGATAATCGCCTAATTACGAAATTAAGTTCCGCGTGAGGTTACAGCGTGCTATACTTTAAACCACGCCTTGTCATCACTGGCCTCTTTGAACTGGCGCNAAAAGTAAGGTCAGCTGAGCTATCAATAGAATGTCTTTTAATTGAATTGTTTGAAAATAAACAAGCTATTTAGATAACATTTCTTAGCAACCCATCATCCCAACTAATTGATTTCAAAGTTATAAACAACCACAAAAATGACCTATTAAATTAATTTCTTTAATATATTTTTAAAATTCTCTGATATACCTAAGATGCAGTTATTTGTAATATTGTGAATACATTGAAATAACAAGCAGCATATCATATTTGTTAGCATTGATGCATGCCATTTTAGGTAACGTCCAGCTCAGCTAATTTCATATAACATTTTAACGCTTGTGTTTTTTATATTTCTAATTAAATTACAGTACTTCTTATAAGAATAAGCTATGAATAGGCTATTATCTTTTAGAAACTTTTTATGTTTCCTATTGAACTTGAACACAGTTAATCCTTTTCTACAACCTTCTAATAAGTTCTTCTGATTGATTTAGTTACAGGTCCAATCACATTGTTTCCCCATGGCATACTTTTTACTGGTTGGGTTTTATTGGTCGCTGTAGTGTAGGAAACACAGCAATGAAAATTAGAAGTGGGATTAATAATAAAAATAAATAAATAAAATAAAATAAAAGTCATTTATTTTCAGACAAAAGCAGTGCATAGTTTGGTTAGTAACAATTTGAACTTAGAGACTATATTAGTAGAGTTAGTAACAATGTTCTTAGAAATATGTTAGTCGTACATCATAGGTTCGATAAACTATGTATATTGACTCTTTATCTATGGACCCTTCATTGCTTCACATGCCTAATGTATAAGTCAACAAAGTGACCATAGACGGCTGCTGAGTCCAGCCTCTCAGCAATCATTATCATTTAATTATAATATTGAGGTTAAAACCATAAACTTCCAGATATCTTTGTGCGATATGATCGAACCACCGGACTATGAAGAAGTGTGCGATCAGCTCATGGGCGAGCGCGACCCGCTCGCCTACCCGTCCACCGACATCGAGCTGCTCGTCGTGCCGCGCCGCATCCGCACCGTCACGCACGTGCTGCCCGACGAGGACCTGTGAGTAGTGTGACGCATGAAGCGTGACGTATGACCCGGACTGTGAGTGCGAGCTAATTGAAAGCGTGCTTGTCGGTGACCTGCCGTCAGTTCCGAGTTCGACATTTCTGAGCTCTTGCTGGACGTCGATACCAGTCAAATGACGATTTCATATAGAGGTTGACATGAAAAAACGGTCATCCCTCTGGTGAGACTCCTTGATGTTGACGTCACACTTTCGTCCCGTATGGGGACTTAACAGTGATAGCAAAATGATCCAGACTACTCACTCTCATGAATCTCATGGCGACATCTTCTGCCTATTTGCCTCTGTAAATTAGAAAGGCAATTCCCAGCCCGGTTCCTACCAAGACTATCAGATTTATTCTGTCAATTTCATTCAAACTGAGTTAAATCTGATTCAAAACGTTTCTCGGCTTCGCTCCGCCTTGCTATACACCGGGCTGAAATAACCTGAATAATATGATAATGAATCCTTTTTATTATTGACTTGATTAAATTGTATGTATGGAAAGCTTCGAATCTCAAATTGTTAATTGCTTGTTTTATTTAACTGTTCCGATTGTTCTGTTTATTTATTTACCTTCCGACATTGCTATGCCCTTTAGACAGGGTTCATATGTAATCTGTCAAATTTATGTAGCACCTTTTTAACTACACATATGATATGCAATAAAGTATTAAGTATTGAAACCTTTCCAACAGCACAAAAGCGCCGATGTTCGTCCGCGACTGTATCCGCAGTTACACATCGGATTACTCCGTGGTGGAGTACAAGCACCGGCAGTACTCGGGCTCGTCCTGCGGCCGCGAGCGCCAGAGCGAGCGCCTGGAGAAGCTCGCGGCCGGGCCCCGCCACCACTACGAGGTCGACGCGGACCCGGTCGCCGTGTCCACGGAGGAGCTGACGTCACAGCAGGTACGGACTGTGTGTGGAGACAAGCACCGGCAGTACTCGAGCTCGTCCTGCGGCCGCGAGCGCCAGAGCGAGCGCCTGCAGAAGCTGAGCTGACGTCACAGCAGGTACGGACTGTGTCTACGTTGCTGTCAGTTCAAAAGGACGTATGTCAAATCCAAATTTAAAAAATATACTATATAATATTTTGTGTCCTGAAAACCTACTGGTAAAACATGACATCCTTTTGAACTGAGCCACGTATGGTTGCTGCAAATACGCACCTATTACGGCTACTTTAAATACGACTGTGGACTCAGGGTCGGTGCATCCTCTGGAACTTCGACACATTCTGAACATGTGCCCTCTCAGTGTTGTTACTTTAAATGTCATTTCTTTTTTAACCTGCGAAACCACTAGCTTTTTTTCTTATACGTGCCCAAAGAACTACATTGTCAAAAAATTCGAAGGAATGACTACATTCGTTTTGTTATGGTCTAAAAACAAGTCGGAGGACGGAGTCCTCAGACAGTTTGTGCTTTGTATAACAAGAACAAATCTCAATTTCTCGTCACTATCTCCAACAGTTCGAGTCCCAACCATCCAGCGGGCGTCAGTCCGTCGCGTCGATCTCGTCGTCGTCGTCGTGCAACGAGACGCTGACGCCGCGCGGGTCGTGGGCTTCCCTGGACCTTAGAAGTTCCTCCTCCGACCCGCTCCTGCCGGACTTGTTTGAACGGCGGCCCCCGGAGCAAATGGACGCAGCCAATGAGGCTAAGAGGTAAGAGATACTTATTATCTCAGGTAGCATTAGCTGAGCCACCTAATTTTTTATTCATAACTAGCTGACCCGGCGAACTTCGTACCGCCTTAGCGTAGAGATTTTCTTTATATTTTTTTCCGTAAAAACCTTGTACAGAGTATTAGAAAACTATTAAAAAAAAATCAGCCAAATCGGTCAAGCCGTTTTCATGTTATGTCGTGACAACGGAAAACGGGTTTTATTTTTATATATATAGACAAGGCAGATATTTGACCACAATCGCACCTGATATTAAGTGGGATGCAGTCTAGGAGGTAGTCTTTCTTATACTCGTACTATGCCAATCAATCAACATTAATTATGTAATTAGTTAAGTAAGTTGTAGAAGCAATAAAGAACTTTATTTTATTTTTTATTTAAGATTGAAAATTCATTTATTATCTGTAAGTAGACTTTTTACCTTTTGCTCGTCCCAACCAAAAAATATATATGATCCAGTGCTGTGAAGAAACAATAAACTTAGAGTATGTTAAATAACTACCTTCTTGTAACTCCAAGTCAATGTAAGATCAGACTATACTATAATATGTTTTTTTATGCATAACAAAGCAGGTATTTGACCACAATCAAATAGCACACAAGCTATTATGTAGCTGTAGCACCTGTTACAGCTACATAATAGCTTGTTGTGCTGTCGTCCCTTACTGCGCTTACTTTATGACTGAAAATATCTTTGCTAACATAAAAACCATAGGTCAAGAAAAAGTTGGTGACTTGAAAAGTTGGCTGCACTAGAATATTTATGAATATTCCATTTAAACGCTCCATATAATTGTTCTTTTCATACATTAGAGAGGCAGAGCATTGGTTACGATATGCAGACACTGACTAATAATTTTCCCTAGGTTGGAGAACAGACAACCTGACCTCCTAGGCCTGTACACTCCGTACCTCGACGAGGATGAGGCGGTAGAGAGAAGGCTCGCGGCTGAAATGCCCAGCGAAGTCATGGGCCACAGGATCCTTGTCAACTGCCACCAGTTGAAGTAAGTTGTAAAGTTATGTGTATTTGATTAGGTTATTTGTCCTGGTCAACTGCCACCAGTTGAAGTAAGTTAAATATTTGAATTTGGTTAGGTTATTTGTCCTATAGAAGATTTATTGATCGTGTTATCCATTATTTTAGTTCAGTATATTTTCATGTGTCCGAATTGTTTTCAGAAACTACATGTTAAACTAATGAACTTGCCTTGAAAATTTTAATTTATTGCATTGAGAATTGTAGAGAAAATGTAGGAAAAATATGTAATATCTAATTAATAAATTGGGGGAAAAAAATACTAAAGCGTTTTTTGAAATCACCAAATTCTTATCTTCACTAACTGACTCACTCATCACGAAATCTCAGAAACTATAAAACCTACAATTATACTACAATTATAATTATACTTGAAATTTGGCAGGTAGATTCCTTATATTCCTGTAGATAGACGTCCGCTAAGAACGAATTTTACGAAATTTCACCCCTAACTTAGGGTTGCCAACTTTTTGGGGCCCTAAGAGGACTATACAACGGGGTCCACGCGTACTATGTCACGGGCGGCCGCTAGTTCTTAGAGCGCTTTCACATTTAGGCGATTTAGCAGCGCGAAAAACGCGACAGATGCGCTGTTGAAAATTTCATGCTATGTGACAGCGGATGCATGCCTTCACATTATAAAAAAGCTACTGCCGCGCTGCTGTCGCGCTTATAACGCCCTAATGTGAAAGCGCTCTTAATGTAATTTACCATTTCCAATTTGTTCTCAGGCTAGAACTCGACGTCGAACCTCTCTTCGCGTCAATGGCTCTCTATGACGCTAAAGAAAAGAAAAAACTATCAGAAAACTTCTACTTCAACCTAAATTCAGAATGCACAAGACAAATGTTAGCAGCGCACGTTCCACACGCGGACTTATCAACGCTCAGTAGAAGTGCAGTATTTGATATACTGAACCCTTCGGCCGATGTATTCTTGGTAGTGCGAGTCGAGAAAGTTCTGCAGGGAGATGTCAATGAATGCGTGGAGCCTTATATCAAGGACGATAAGGTATGTTTTCGCATCCCACTTTTGCTAGGGTATCATTAAGGGTTGACAGATGCTGGCAACCCACATCCGTTGCGCAGATTTGTCAACAATCGGCAATAGTGTCAATTTTGATTATGATCTCGTGATTAGATGTATTTCTGGTGTCTGGTGATCATATAGCTATCTCGAAAGATACTGCAAAAGTAAAGTAATCTGTAGAATTAAAGGTATCATTAAATTTCATGATATCTGACATATGGATCAGACAGTTCAGTATTTATTGTTTTAATAAAATAAATCGTTTAATATCCTTACGTTACTAAACCCAACGTCGAGAATTCTTTAGTGCACTAAGTTCATATTTATTTTACATTAAAGTTATAGAAAGAAAGTAGAAGAAAGAAAAATAGTTTATTGGTTCAAACAGTTTTTAAATAAATAAACAAAATTATCCTATGACTTTTGACCTCTAGCGTGACCTTCAACAATTTCAAGCCTATACCATCCTCCAAATTTTCCTGCAGAACCGCGAGAAAGTCCGCGCAAGCGCTCAAGCAGCGTGCACTCGTCTCGGCAAGTATCGCATGCCACTCGCCTGGAGCGCTGTATCGCTGCCTAACATTCTCAGCGGCGCCAATAGTCTAGAAAGGGAGCAAGATAAGGACAGCCTGTCGGCTAACGGCAATACCAACAGCTTGGGTGAGTAGGCTAATTTCCTAAAAAACTTTGTCTGTCAATTATACTATCAAAATATTGGACACGTGTATTATTGTATTTGTCAATCAAACAAGTAATTACGTAAAATTATGGTGCGTTGAACTCCATGTGACGTCACACCGTGCTACACTTTTAACCATGCCTTGACGTCACTGGCCTATTGAACTGGCGCGCATTATCCCATTATGGTTCCTGGGACGTGTCCAACAGTACGATGTGTCTTCCCTCTTAATTTAGTGCTTTGAAGATGACCAAATTTTAATACACCTGTGCCCGGTCAACACCTGTACCAAACCGAAAGCCACTCTAGCCATCTCCATGATTTAGTAGAAAACTTTCATCATTTATTTCATCCCATTCAAGCTATTTATTACCCCAAATGGTAGCTTTTATTCTTCCCCAAGGTCCATATTTCCATACCAAAGTTGTTTGCATCTCGTGTTCTCATGTCTGCCCTCTCTGTGTATTTATTTATATTTGGGACGTGTAAAAAGTGCTCTGAAAATGCCTAACTACTAATAAAGAACTTGAATTATATCAAAATAGCTGTAATATTATCTTGCAGACTCCAAAGCATCCTCCAGCAGCTTAGAACAGCTGCGTCTGCGCGTGTGCGAGAAGCCTCTCCTCGGTAACTCGAGAACTTTCACCTCTTTCACCCCATTCAAGTTATTTTTACCCCTTAGTTCCTCTCTGTGGTCCATATAGATGTCTCTGTTTGCATGTTTTGCAGACTATATTACGTACGTCCTCAATGAGTAAACTGTTGGTTCATATATTAATTAATATCCATGTAACAACATTGTGCAGAATGTGCAGACGATAGCACGTAAGATTATACATTTTTATTGTTGTAATTTCACCCATAGTACATAAGGGCCCTTTTACATTATGACTTTTTGCAGCAATATAAACGCGATACTAAGAATAGCGAACGCGACGTAGACCACCGACTTTTAGTTGGCCGATAGTTGGGTCGGGCTATTAATCAGTATGGACATGTATATAAAAGTGCACACATTACACCGATTTGATATCGGCCGATTCTTCATGAAAATTAGAACCGGGCCCAATTATCGGCTAACTAAAAATCGGTGGTCTGCGCATAGGCTAAGTGTAGGCGCGACTCCACGACTTTGTCGCAACGATAAGTTAATAATATATGAAATTGACAAGAATAGGCGAATGTCGCCCATGTGCGCCTACACTAAAAGTCGCAATATGTAGGCTCGTCTACCATAAACCCACTTTAAGATTCTACTAGGGATGTTATGGATATGTAGTTTCGGTTACGAATATAGGAATAATATTATACCGGTTTCGGTTACGGTTACGGATATCTGTGCTTTAAAATTCAAATTGCAATAGTTAAATAAGTAAATAAATAAATAAAAAATGTATTTATTGCCTTCGAACCATTAGACATAGGTAGGTACAGGTAGTTAGACTTACAACTAATAAGTACACTGAAGGCAATTGGACCTGGCTCAGTATACGTTGTAAGGACAGATCCTTGCAACACTGGTTTTCAGCCATGCCCAATTCTCTAGGATGTTGAGCGAGAATAAAGTTATGAGGGCTTAAGAAATAATTATAAACTTTGAAACAATTATAAACTTTAAAGGAAAAAAAAATAGTTGTCCAAAACGGTTCATTCATGGCCACACACTTTACATCGAATAAAAAGTAATAATAAAAAAATATACTAGATGGTAATGATAAAGGTAAATCAGGCTATTATGCCTTTATAATGCTGTACAAAAAAAAAACAATTTTAAACTGCCTACATCTGAAACTATCCGAAACTTTTGAATCGGTTACGGTTATTTTATTATTTCGGATATCCGAAAATTTCGGTTGCGGTTACAGAAATCCATAATATCCCTGGATTCTAGGACGTTTAACTTGACGTGCTGTCTATACTCACACAGTTTTAACAATAAACAACTATCTCATCAGACCGCAAAGCATCGTCCAGCAGCCTAGAACAGCTGCGTCGTCGCGCGGGCGAGGTGGGCGGTTCTTTGACTCGGAAGGGCAGCGTGGAGCGCCGCGCGCCGCCGCCCGGCGATGAGCTGGCCGCCTGTCTCGACAGCTTCAAGCCCATCGCCATCACCGTCACCAGCTTCTTCAAACAGGTAAAGCCTGGTCCGTGAGCACGTACAATCCCGTCCAATGACCCCAAGCTACCCATCCCTATCGCTCGCGCGTAATTATGTTGCTGTCGCGCTCGCACACTCACTGCGGGCGCCCGTCGCACAGTCGCGACAGCAACATAATTACGCGCGAGCGATAGGGATGGGTAGCTTGGGGTCATTGGACGGGATTCTACGTGCTCACGGACCAGGCTTTAACGAAAACCATCGCAGGAGTCTCCGAAAGAAAGACATTTTTTACAATGAGACATCACGCAAATACAAAAAGGTACTATCGGCCACAGTGTTAACTATCAAATTCCATTTTTGCTCTCGCTCTCATCAATGGTGATTCTTTGCTATAGAACGAGATGACATGACCTGCAATGAGTAACACTGTTGCCCATATAGCAGGCCTGTTCATCTCCGCGAGTTTACATCGAAAACAAAACACGCACGATGGCCCACCTACAGGATAATATTCGACAAGGCCTCACATACGAGCGAACATTGACTCACGCACGCGTATTCTTGTGTATGATGGAAGAAAATAAAGAAAATGATGTACTAAATACTGTGCAGTATTTAACTGCCTAAATAATAATAAAAACACAGAATGTACTTTTTTAAGTTGCCTCAAGACACTGAGAGGTAAATAAGTAGTTAGTATTATTCATGATAATTCATGCTAAATCATGTATTTCCTCCGCCATTTTCCGCAGTTTGGCACCTCACGTCACATCATTTTACCGAAGTCAGCCCTATAGCTTCGGCGCAGTGCCGACCACTGACGTTTGTCAACAAAATGGTGCTTGCCTCTTGAGACAGGCTAAATTACACCATATTGTTAATGACATTGAGCATACATTTTTTTAAATACCTTCGCGAAGTAAAACTTCTGTACGTAGTACTTAAGGGAGAGTCCGCTAATTTGGACCAGTTTTTTCAATCCCATTTTACACATAGTTTCCTTTTGTTTTTGCTAATGTTCATGGTATATAATTAAAGAGAAATTATTCAACTTACTATTTCGTAGGTATTAATCAACACAATTGTTGTATATTTAGCACAAATCAACAAAATACGAGTTCAGAGCTTCGGTCCAATTTAGCCAACCGGTTCGATAATTTGTACCACAGGGTTACTAAATTGGATTTCAATAAATTTCAAGCCTATAAAAAAACTATGGCAAAATATTATACGATACATTTTTAACAAATTAGGTAACGAAAAGGAACAGTAGTTAATAACATAGACAATTGATATTGTTTTACAGGTTATCACGATTTTGAGTAAAAGTTTTGTAATTCCTATTATCGTAACGCACACTTGTATCTAATCTACTTTGCCAGTCTTTTGCTTTCATTTATTGTTAGTCAAACATAACTACGCTATTATAACTTTAAAATATGATTTACTAAAAAAAATTCAAAATCCTTTGGTAAAGTTCCATACAACTTGATGTGGTACAATTTANAACACCGATACTGAAAGTCCTTCAGAGACTCTTTAACTCCGTCCTACTCCAGGGAACTACGCCAGAGGCATGGAACAGAAGCGTGGTGGTGCTCTTCTTCAAGAAAGGTGATAAGACCTTGCTGAAGAATTACAGACCCATCTCGCTTCTAAGTCATGTCTACCAAACTGTTTTCGAGAGTCATCACGAACCGTCTCGCGCGTAGGTTCGATGACTTCCAGCCTCCCGAACAAGCCGGATTCCGAAAAGGTTATAGTACCATAGACCACATCCATACGCTGCGGCAGGTTATACAGAAGACTGAGGAGTATAACTTGCCACTATGCTTGGCGTTCGTGGACTATGAGAAGGCCTTCGATTCGATTGAGACTTGGGCAGGTACCTGCATGCCAAATTTCAAGCGTCTAACTTAAGCGGTTTAGATTTTTCATACAAAAGGATTTTCCCGCCAATTCCTGTTCCCGTGGGGTTTCCTAAGTAGACTATAACCTGCCCAGGAGTATGAAGAATAATTTTACCAAGTTTCGATAAAATCCGTCGAGTATTTTTTGTTTCTATAAGGAACATACAGACAGACAGACAGACAAATATTTTACTGATTGCATTTTTGGCATCAGTATCGATCACTAATCATCCCCTGATAGTTATTTTGAAAATATATTTCATGTACAGAATTGACCTCTCTACAGATTTATTATAAGTATAGAAGATAAATATTGCGGTAATAAAATACGAGCTTAATGTTGTATGTCATTCTCTACCAGTTAACCTTAATTAACTTTTAATTGTCTAATACTAATAATATAGAATATTCTAGTAAAACTATCCATACCCCGATCGCAGAAAGAATGTTTTAAAACATCGCAGGTTAGGCCTTTTTTCAGTAAAAAAATCTCTGATGAAAATAAAGACTAAAAAATGGGAGCAGAAAGTACTCCAGCTTTGTTGCTGCTAGGGTTGACAACGATGAGTTATTTATAGATTAATTTATTTTTTCATGTCGTATTCAATGAAAAAAAAATGTAAGTAGGATATGAGTTACACTAAACTGAAAATAATAAAAGATACAATTAATACTTTCACGCATTTGTTGAAAATATTGTTGTATGAAAGATGTTATATTATTATGATTATGATGACTATCATCATAGAATCTTAACAATATCGTCATTCCAAATATTATTATTTTAATACACTAAGCTCCATTTATAGGTGTAATTAAATTCTTTTTAATCTATTATGTACTGTGATTGGCTTTATGTTGAAATTCAACCAAACAAAGGTCTCAATGTACAATTGAAATTGAATCGTGTATTGAGCTTTGTTCTACATTAACCACTTAAGGTTTTAATGTAAAAACAGACATCGACAAGAAAAGGCAGACATTTTATTTTCATACACATATTTAATCAAATTCAACATATAAATATGAATATATTCCATTACAGCCAGCCCTGTTACAAGTCCGAGCATTGTTCATTTTTAAAACAAGCAAACAATACCCTCATTTTTCTGCTCTGCTTTTGTAGTTCAATTCTTTTATTATTGTTTTCGCGCTATGCATACTCTGAACTTGAATTAAGAGAGATCCACCTCTTTCGAGGATAATTTAGATAAAAATAGCGTAGTAGTAGCGTGTCCAGCCATGTTCAAGTTAATATGTTATCGTCATAGAGTTAAAAGATAGGGAAGCTGTCGTAAGGAAAATTCTTGCTATTTTGGGAAGAAGAAACAAAAGTTTGATGCAGTTAAAACATTAGTTCTGTCGTCTAACCAAACTATTAAAACATGCAGCGTTAAATCGCTTACTAATGCAAAATGTCAAACTCACACTAAAGTAAGGTGTACAGATTGTTTGTAACAGTTCATTTGAACAGAACGACTGTAGGATCGCGAAATCTGGGCCGTAGAGTGTCGCTGGTTATTAATTTTTATTAATTTAAAATCTTAATTGCACACAAACATTTATCATACAAAAGTTATCGTAATATCATTTCAGCCACTTATTTTCTTTACAAAAACCCGCCCCCGTCTCGTTAACCCCTCGTGGTAATTAATCTAAAATGCTTGTATTTTAATCCTTCAAGGCCCGCGAATCTAGACACAATAGATAATCAATTGTTATAACATTAATTAATGCCGTCTGGGACTCAAGCGGTTAAGTAGCTTCACCACAGTTGATCATTTTGATCAATGGCGGGGTTAGAACCCACGTCCCTCGGATCTCGAGTCGGCCTGTCCGACACCTTTCATAAAACTATATTTTTCATTTTTTCCTTTAATTCAAATCAAAACTGAAGTCTCATTAAAAACAAAACAAAACACACAATAATTAAAGTGGCAAACAATCAAAATAATTTTAAGTTTTGATGACCGGTTGTGAGTTTGGAAGTGGGTACTTATCCGGTAATTAGCAGGTTATATTACATACGAAGCTTTATTTTAACATAGCACATACAGGATCAGCAGGTCTATTTGATGTGATCATCATTTCAGCCACAGGACGTCCACTGCTGAAAATAGGCCTCCCCCATTGATTTCCATATTGAGTAGTTGGTGGCTTGCATCCAGCGCCTTCCTGCTACCTTTATGGGATCGTCGGTCCACCTTGTGAACAGTGGACGTTCCACTGCTTGGTTTACTTAACGCTAATTAAGCAATTCAGATTCCATACTAGAATTATGTCTAAACATTAGTGATAAAGGGCCATCCACCATCTTAAAGGTATTCCCACCTGTGTAGCCAGGATTTACAGCTTGACCGCCAATAAAAACCCAACCAGTGAAGGTCAAGTTTCTCCCGATGGAAAGTCATTACCAGTAACGAATTCAAACAGAAGAACATAGGAGGAGTTCGAAGTTAAGATTCGACTTCCCTCCAGTGCAAAACGGATGATATATGACAAACAAAGGTTTAGTAAGCTTTAAGAAAAGATATCTTAGCCTAGGTGAGATAGCCAGTTCTTCTAAGGTCAAGGATTTCGGGGTTCTTATCACTTTATAGATGCGGACCACGAGCCTCCCCGTAGAGGTAAGGTAAAAATGTATGCTATGTCACATAGATTTTATGTTATTGTTTTACACGGCACTCCTGCTATCGTCTGCCTTGTGACGTAATCAGAACGAATAATTTATGAAAGCCGGAACTGTTTTCTAGAGTCGAGTAGGTACTGTATTGAATGGCCTCAACCTTATTGGCGTTATAAATATTTAATATTCATACAAAATCTACACACTTCAATGAAACTACGATATTACGTTCTAGTTAAAGTTTTTGTTTTAATACTTTTTTGTTTAATTTCCTTTTATTAATTTGATGATTTGTAAGTATTATTTTATTTACAGAGTGGTGAGTGTATGCTTATTGCCATGATGAATAAATATTAATTGATGGTCAAAGCAAATTACTAACTCATCGATTACCGTGATCCCAAACACTTCTTAATAATTTTCTCGCCCTAATAATTGCTAAGGCATACGAGAGGTTAAATATTTGACCTGTGACATTGGCCCATTATTTGGCTACC